ACTGTGATGTTCAAGCATAAGCTAATTTTTATTTTCTCCCCAAGTTGCTTTTGGTCACAGTGTTTTATCACAGCAACCGAAAAGCAAGTAATACGTCATATGGAGTATGGAAAGCTGGCTGACAACTGGGCCTCACTGAGTCCCTGTTTCCTTATCTGTGACAAAGAACTACACTAGAAACCGTGATGTGTGTGTGAGGGGTAGGGGGCGCTAAAGCCCTCAGCACAGGGTCTGGCTCACAACAAGCACTTACACCAGTCTCTTCTGTCACCTCTTTTAGGCAGCCTCAGACACCAGAGGCTCCTTAGCCCCACCACAAGGCTCTTCGGTACCCTTAGAATGACCTCTTGTGGAGGAAGCAGGGAGATGTACTTGGGAAGTGAGAAAATCATTCGGGATTGTCGCCATTTTCTTGGGCCTCTTCTGAGTCCCCAGCATTCTCAGCTTTCTGACCTTGGGACTTCTGCCTTTGCTAACCTGTCTTGTCAGATGTCAAGGCCACACCCTCACACAGCCTCATTGGAGGGAGGTGGGAGCATGGCTTTTTTTGTTACTTGATAACAACTTGCTGGTTTTGGTGGGCAGTTTCAAGGACCGAGAGAGGTCTGGGTTGGGGTCTCCTTTGAACCCGGGACCAGGCATTGCTTTGGAGGTGCCCTTAGAGCAGGGGTTCTCATCCTTCCTGATGCTTTGACCCTTTAATACAGTTCCCCATGTTGTGCTGACCCCCAACCAACCATAAAATTATTTCTGTTGCTACTCCATAACTGGTCATTTTGCTACGGTTATGAATTGTAATGTAAATATCTGTGTTTTCCAATGGTCTTAGGCGGCCCCTGGGAAAGAGGTCGTGACTCACAGGTTGAGAACCACTGTCCCTCAAGCCTGCTGTGAGCCCCTATCGCGCAGTGTTAGACCAACATGCATTCCAGGTAGAGTGTCTGACCAGAGAGAGCAGGGCATCAGCAGCGTCCAGCTCAGTGTGTGGGAACACAGCGATGGCCTGATGAGGAAAGCAGTGGCCTTAGCCATGAATGAGTGAATTCTGCCTCCAAGGAAAAAGAAGCAATCTGGCTAAGCCTCAGCTCCTCAGTGTGGTGATTATGAAAATAGCTCTTACATTCTAAGCCAGCATCACCAGTCCACCTGGAGATCACCAAAGGCTGCTGTTCTGCCTTTAAGGGAACAGTGTAAGCAACCAGCCTTGGCTCTCCCGTGTAACTGACGTTTACAATCTAAGCTAATGCATAGCTGTGATCTTAAGTTAGGCGCTCTTCCCGACCCTGACAGAAACAAGGCATGGGTACAATCTTCTGAAAGCAGCAAATCCAGAAGTTGAAAGCAACCTCCTAAAATTCACCATAAATGTTGACAGCAACCACTTATGGATACTGGTTGATAAACAATGATGTTTGTAGTACTTTTTGTCATCTGGATCAGTTGGGGATCAGTTAAAGGCAGCTACTTAATCCCTTGTAAAAATATTTCTGAAAAGTGTCCCATTTCTTCCCCATGTGATGCTTTCTGTGCTGTTCTGTAAAAGAGAGAGGGAAGACCTGTGTCAGAGAGACGGACTCACACACAGAAGACATAGGGAGCAGGAGGCAGAGAATGCAGATCTGGACTCGGTCTTGGCTAAGTGACTCTGAGAGGAAGTATTTTTATTTCTTTCCTTAACACGACGCTGGTGCATTACTGGTGACTCAGAGTTGACCATTAGTTCATTTAATCCACACATTTTGGTGCCCTGTGTGGGGGACATGTGAGGGATGTGTGGGGACGTTTGAATGGGTCACTGAAGCACTTTGGGATACAGATCTTGAAGGTAGGACAGCCTGAACTATTGGGAGATGTGGATTTTTGCAGGTTTCAATCACCAAAAGCTACAGGCACCTGGGAATCTCCCCAAAGCTCCCACCAAGTCTGCCTGAGAGGTCTGGGGCAGAGACGAATTTGGATGCCTCAGCTTGGCCAGGAAGTTCATCTCAGGAGCAGGGGTCCTGTGCTCTGAAAGCTCCCCTCCAGCGCCAAACCTTTTCCTTGTTTCTCTTTCTTTCAAATTGTGTTTTCCCTGTTTCTCTTTCTTCCTCAAGTTGTGTTTGAATCTACTTCAACTTCAGTCACAAGGAAACTTTCAAACTACTCTCACTATGGGGATTCCTAGTCTCCTGTAGCTCCTGCTGGAACACAGCAGTCCCAAACTTACAATCTCAGAGTTCCGCAGGCAGCAGCTGCTCAGTGCTTAGGGCTAGGACGGCTTCTCAAGGGCCCTGAAGCCAGAATGCTAACAGCTGACCAGTCCTGTTTGAGGACAGCTGTCTCTTTCACTGTGGTTTTACCTTCAGTGCTTTAGTCGGCCATGGGTCAAAAATATTAGGTAGAGAATTCTGGAAATAAATGCTGTCTTAGGTTGTCAGCCATTTTAATAGCATGATGGAATTTTGCAGCTTCCTGCTCTGTCCTTCAGGAACATGAATTGTCCTTTCGTCCAGTGTTTCCACGCAATATGGCTGCCCTTCCATTCATTCACCCATAGTTGTTTTGGTTATCAGACCAGCCATTGTACTGTTGTGGTGCTTGTGTGCTAACTCTTATTTTGGGTAGTAATGAGCCCTTAGGGTAAAGCAGTGATGACTGCTACATGCCGAGGAAAAGCTGAACGCACTTCCTCGAGGTGATGTCATAGTTTCATTCTCTGAGGCCATCGCAAATGCCACGGCCCAGAGCAACTCAGGGAGCAAAGCAATACTTTTAACTTATTAGTGATAGGCCATCACGGAGGGAAGTGAAGGCGGGATCCTGGAGGCAGGAAGCTGAAGCAGGAACCGTGGAGGTACAGCTCACTGGGTCACTGCCCAGGGCTTGCTCAGCTGTCTGTCTCAGACAGCTTAGACCCCCCTGCCTAGGGATGGCACCTCCTACAGTGGGCTGGACCCCACTACATCAATTAAGAAAATGCCTCACTGACCCGGCTACCAAGCAGTCTGATACAGACAATACTCCCAGGAGGCTCCAAGTTTGTGTCGAGTTGACAGTCGAAGCCATAGGGAGAATTGACAGGTGAGCTTTAGGTTGGCTCGAACCCAGGGCCTTCCAGGGGGCAGCAGCAGCTCTAGGACTGGGCTCCACCCCACAGTCTAGTTTTAGAGTCCATGAAAAACGATGCTACGCTGAGGTTGTTAATCTGTAGAGGGGTGATTATGGGCTTTTATTGTGCCCAGTTTAGAAGTTAAACGTTCCTTCAGGTTTCTGTATAGGAACAACTTAGCAGACATGGGGCTGAGTAGTGTCCTCGGCTCCAGGTCTCCATGTGGCCTAGGGTCCCCCTGGATAAAGAGTGAACCTTGCACCTTGCACCTTTATAGATTTGGGGAGGTTTCAAATGAAGGCCTCAGAGTCAGCCCCTGGTCTCTGAGAACATATCTCATTCAAAGTCCTGTAGTAATTCTCGGCCAGTGGAGCATCCAGATGGACACTGATGATGACGTTGGCGACAGGAGGCTTCTTGAGCAACACATGACTTGCCCTGCGCCTGTCTGGGGAGGACCCATGCTGGGTTTAATGTTCGGCTGTTGCCATCTTGAAATTTGACATTTTTCTTTTCTTGTCATTCAAACACTTTTTAAACTGACAGAAACGAATTTGTACATATTCATGTAGTACAGTGTGAAATTTCCATACACGGGCACTATGCATAATAATCAGACCAGGTAATTAGCATACCTACTGCCTCCAACATTAACCATTTGCTTGTGCTGAAAACATTCAAAATACCTATTTAAAATTCACAGTGAATTAATCAGTTTTTACCTAAAGGTTTGTTTGAACTGAGCAAACTGCAGTCAGTTCTAATTAGAGTCTAGGGGCCAGGACAAGCCCTCTGGTGAGCAGGGGTGAGAGGGTGTGTGTTATGTAAAGTGTGTGGAAGGGCAAAATGAGTCTGGAACTCAGAACATCGTGAGTCTCCAGAACCCCACGCTGTCTGCTACAATGCTGTCCACAGCAGGGATCCTTTCATAGGATCAAGGAGGCTTTGGGGCATTGCCTCACTGTCCCTGTCTTGGGATGCACCTTTCATTGGGGCCCCCCTTCTCTGTAATGTCTATTTGTCCTGGCTTTAGGTTAGGGTTACTCTGCCATCTTCATCCATTATGAGTGAAAGGGATTGGTGGGTGGAGGATTCATGGTTCCCACCACCAGGCAGGAAGGTGTCCCATCCAACCACTGGAGAGTGTGAAAGTAAGGGCCCTGGGCCCCAGGGGCAACCATCTTAATCTCAATAGTACTCAGTTTGCTCGGAAACCCATGAGAGGTAGCTTGGAGCTTCGGAGAGGAAGCATGGCTAGCAGAGGGCACATGCTGTGTGTCTTTGTAAAGGAGAGCAGAGTCAGTGTCAGGCAGCCATCTGCAGAAGTAAAGGGGTATAGCTCCGGGTTCCTAGTCCAGGGACATGTCCCCTTGTACGGTGACAGAGTAGAGGACGGACGGGGCTGGCTGACCTGAGCGACGCTCAGTAAGACGCAGGGTCACCATCCCCAGAGACCTCCTCAGTGCTTTGCGGCCATCACGCAGTCCCCAGAAACTTCTGTGTGCACTGCCGTCACAGGCAGCTCCCAGGAGCAAAATCAGGACCAGAGCATCCCCTTCTCGGCCGCCACACAATCTGGTACCCGAGCCCCTGTCTCTCAGTGGGGCTCCTGCTCCTCCACTGGGGGTCTCTGAGCCGTGGGCCCCAGGACATCTTGGACTACCTCATCCTTGACACCCCAGTCCCACAAGCCCTCACTTGCCTGCTTCCATCAACCTGCTGAGAGCGGAGTGAGGAGCCTTAGCCTCCGGGCCTGGCTTCCTGGCTCCCGAGAGAGCAACAGCCCCACACATTCCATAGAGACAGGGATTTGTGAAACACCAATTTTTTCTCTCCCGTTTAGTTGGCAAACATTTTACTGTCATATGGCTTAATTAGACAGAGGGTGGGGAAAAAGCCCAGGAGTCTAGAATTTTGGTAACTTCAAATATATTTTATTACTTTCTTTTTCATCTTAGAAAGAACATGAAACCTGCATGCAGCACTCGTGGTTCTCAGCATTTACATAGCAGATAACACAGCCACACAGCTGCCTCTACTGAAGGGTGGCAGGATGCGGTAAAGGCTATATGTACACAGGAGAGGGCACAGGATCATCCTAACTCCCAAAGAGGACTGTGCTGTTTGCATGTGCACAGAGGGATGTGTGCTTTTTACAGGGGGAAGGGAAAAACACAAAGCCCGCCCTCGCCAAGAGGCTGTGGCATTCTGGCTGTGTGTTGAGCATATATTCCTGAACCTTTCTGTTTCCTCCTCAGTGCGTTTTCTCACACTGCTGGGAGCTGTCTATGCTTCAGTAGTCTGCCAGAGCAGCAAACCCTTCAGCAGTCCTCAGGTTGGAAGATCCTTTAAGGTCCTTTAAGGATCCCTTGCCTGGCTATGACAGAGCCCCCGGGATGAGCTGGGGTCGGGGTGGGGATGAAGCTTGTTCTGGTAACTCCACTGAGCTCCCCTAGGCACAGATGTAGAAGGACCTGCTCCCAATTGCCCTGCAAAAGGGGCCACTGCGGAGTCACAGCAAAACTCTGACCAGTCGTAAGCCCAGGAGAGCCCATGGCAGCTGTGCCGAGGTGCCAGGCCCTCTGAGCGGAAGTTTGCAAGCCTGGACTGGAGCAACGGTGCAATGAAATGCCTCAGCCATGCTCATTGTTCCTTCCAGACGCTTATAAAGCTCAGATGTGTACTGACATATGGACAAATACAAAACCCCTTATTTTAAAAAGGAAAGGCTTGAGGTCCCCCCGCCCCTTCGGCAAAAAGCCACTTGTAATGAAGTCTGGGGTGCAGGAGGGCTGGGTCTCACATCTGGAAACCTTTCACACACAGCTATAAAATGTAAAAACTGACCCTGGTAAGAAGAGCTTCATAGCAATATATAATTTGTCTTATACTTGTGAGAAAGAAAGGGCTTTTATTTTAATCTGCAAAGTCCTCTGCTGAAGTCTCTCACTGGCCTGGAGTTTTTCTTCCCAAGACTGTTCGCCCTATTCTTCGTAGACCCTGGGAAGAGAGGACACACAGGCATAAGCCGCTTCATCCATGGACCCTCTCTCAGACCTGGGGCCAGGAGAGGAGAGATGGCTCTGAGGACGTGACCGAAACCAACACAATAGCTCACACACGGATGGTGAGATCGCTCACACCTGCAGACCTAGGGCTGGGCTGTAGGTCACTCTCAGCTCCTGCTTTCTTGCTCCCGGTTTCTGAGTGAGAACCCATAATCACACTTTGAAGTAAATGGCCTGGGGGCCACAGAGATGGTGCTTAAGATCTGTCACGGCTCTGCCAGCGTACCCAAGTTCAGTTCCCAGCACTTACATCGGGGTGCTCACAAACTTCTATACCTCCAGCTCCAGCGGACCCAAAGCCCTTTCTGGCTACCTCAGGCATCTGTACTCACATGGCATACAGGCCCACAGACACAGACACATAAATAAAATAACTGCAATGAAATGCTCAATGCAGCTCCCTCTCACGACAGCCAGGGATTCTGGCCTCTAAGGTGCTCTGAGCTTTCTTGCTGGTGCCAGGGCCCAGGGGCCTGAACCTGCCATGGAGGAACCCCTTCCTCCACTCTGACTTATCAAACATGTATTTTTGTTCTCTCTCTGACTCTGAACAGTCCTTTTAACCCCACCCCATCTCCATTCAATAAGTTGTTTTTAATCCCTTATAAGGGAAAGGATAGAGAGAGAGAGGGCAGGCATGGCAGTTCCAGGAGGCCTCAGTGTTCTAAGAAAGAGGTGCATTCATTAGTGTGTGACTTAGGCCAGTAACCCCTGTAATCCCAATGCTTGGAGGTGGATGGATTAGGATTCAGGGTTCAAGGCTATCCTTTGCTTTGAGGTTAAGTTGACACTAGCCAGGCCTATGTGAGACCTTGTTTTAATAAGTACACAAACAAGCAACTAGCCCCCTGAGCTCTTGATGAGGCAAACTGGCAGAGGCCTCAGAAAGGGGTTCTCTCCGTCTCTATGAGAGCAATTTGCAAAAGTAGAAAAAAGTGGGGCTGGGGAAGGGTGTCGGCAGGATCACCACACAGGCGCCTCCTTTTCAAGGCCATGGCCCAAGGGGAAACAAGGTGAGCAGACATTTTTAATGTCTCCGGTAGCCTGAGCAAGACTTCTCAACCCTCCCTAAGCAGGCCCTGGGGTCATTCTGCTCTCGATGACACAAATGGAGAAGCTGGCAGGGGTGGGCGGGGTGGGTCAGGCCCTGCCTTTACCATGTGAGCTGCAGGCCTTGCCCAGCGAGAGTGCCTCATCCCCATTAGACATACAGGAACTAGCTGCTCACCTCACCACTTTCTATTTCAGGCAACTGCAGATGAGGCAGTTTTGGAGGGAGAAAGAAAGGATTCAGGCACAGAAGCTGACCAGGGGTGTCAGCTCTGAGAGGACTGCTCTCAAGGCCAGGCTGGGGGAAGGACCAGGTGACAGGCTGGGAAACCAGCAGCACCGGGGACCCACACCCCACACTGGGTCCTGGCTCCTGCCCTGACTTCTCCCAGTGCTGTGAAGGCAGGGCCCCCCGTCTCCACCTGGTCTTGGTTCCCACCTCTTAGGGCAAGGTGCTGGGATCCTTGGAGGTCACCTATGTGGGTGTCCTTCCCCAGCTTTGCTCTGCAGGTAAAACAGAACAGGCCTTGGGTGTTTGAGGAGTGCCCGATTCCAGTACAAAGAAGCCGGGAAGTGGTCTGTCCTTCCAAGGCCAGACCTAAGGCCCCAGCATTAGACCTAGGGAGGCCCCATCTGATGATGCAGATGCAGTCCATCAGCAGAGTTGTCTGGTCCAAGGCACTGACCTTCCCAACCACTGTCCCTTTGGGTAAAGAGGCTCTGACTAAAAGAAATGAACCGAAGTGCCCTTCAGAACTTGCCTGAGAGGATCTAGCCAAAGGTCAGGGGAGAACAGGGCAGAGGGCACCTTGCTGGCAGGGGTCATCCTTATCATCAGTGTGCTCCTAATAAACTGTCACTTAAGGGATCCTATCCGCCCCCATAAACTTCACCGGGGACAGCTACGCTGGGTGCTCACCCAGCCACTTTCAGCTCATGTGGACTTAAATAAAAAGAGCAGTTAAGACTGTAATCTGAAAGTTAGGGGCCAGCAGGATGGCTCAACAGTTAGGAGCATTGCTGCTCTTACAGAGGACCTGGGTTCGGTTCCTGGCAGCCACACAGCAGCTCAAAACCATCTGTCAGTTGAGGTTCTGGGGGTCTGCTGGGCCTTCTGTAGTCTGTAGGCACGTACGTGCAGGCTTAATACCCACCATGCATAAGGTAAAAATAAACCTTTAAAGATATTCACAAGAACGCCTGTGACATAAAAGCTAGCGTGAGGCAGGTTTTTCATCCACAGAAGAATACACATGCAGCATTCACAGCTGACCGGAGAGCCGCAGCCTCCTTTGTTAAGTGGTGAGTTCTCCGTGGGTGGGGGTACAGAGACAGTGTCAGGGTGTCTACTTTCATGGATATTATGTGGGTGTCAGACGTTACATGAGGCCAGTGGATGACATGGTGTGAGGGTCCCTTCCTGCGCTGAAAACCATAGCCAATTGCCAAGCCCTTCTGGGTGGACAGGGGCGGAGGGGTAGGAGGTGGGGGTGGGGCGGGAGGGTAGGGTGGGGCAGCGAGAAGAGACGTACCTGCGTTTCTCGTTCCAGGCGTTGTACCATTTGATGAAGCGTTTGGTGCTCTGCAGCTTGGGGTGTAGGCAGTGTTCCTGGCCGCGGTACCTGGACATGCTCTTGGTGGTGATACTGAAACAGAGCAGCACGAGGCACAGGGTTGAGAGGTCTCAGCCACAGTCTACAGGGTCAGAGCACAGAGAGGCTCGCCCGGCCTCTTCCGGCACTCAAGCCTGAGCCCGGGCCAGGGCCAGCCGTTTGCAGTGTTTTGTGTCTCGGCCTCCATGGCGGGGTTAGACGGAATGGGTGAGTGCTTTTACTTCTCCTTTGGGAGTCTCTACCCCCTATGGCAGCCAGCAGTCCTCTGTCCCCAGGACAACCTCTCTCGGGGAGCAATGGTCAGGAGGCTCTTCCAGTGGTCTGGAGGTAGACAGGGCCACTGCTAGAAAGTGCTCACGCTGAGTCCCATCCTTGGATTTGAGGAGCTGCACAGAGGGGCTGAAACATGCCTTGCAGTTACCACAGTCTCTGACCTTAACCCCAGGACCCGAACCCTCTCCAGCTTGTCCCTGGGCTGACGAGGATTTGCTAATACTGAAGCAAGGGCCTTGTTGGCTTGGTAGCCCATTTAGATGCTTGAGTGTGTGAGATTGCAGTTATCTCATTTCGGGACAGAAACATAAGACGTTTCTTCTCTTGGGCCTCTCTCAGCCAGAGCTCCAGCACTCCATGGAGGCTTAGCTGTGCAGGGGAGACGCAGAACCTGGAACTGAGGGTGGTGAGCTGAGTGTGAATCCTTGTGACCTGTCTCACTCTGTCTGCTCTCTGGAAAACAGGTACAATAAAAAGACCTATGCTACCGGGTTTGGGGAGGAGGAAAGGAGCTCGGGTCCTGGCTTCTTGTAGGTGTCTAGGGACTACACTATTACCAGTAAGTAGCCAGCAGCAAGACAAATTTCATGTGTGAGCTCAGTCCTGGATGGTCCAGGGTGACCTGGGAGATGGTGGGAGTTACAGGAAGCTTCTGAGAGAGTCCATTTGGACCATGCAAAGTGGAGATACGACTTCCTGAGGGTTCACAGGAGGGTAGTTGGAGATGAGGACAGGAAGAGTGAGAGTTCCCCCACCTGGTCCCAAGGTTTATAGGGCAAATTCTAGAAGGGGCAGGGCTGCTGTGAATGCAATCTTCCAATCTGTAGGAATGGCAGACAGTGTCTTGTAGCAGAACGGGGACAGGATGCTGCAGCAGGAGTCTGCTCCTCCTTGTCCAAGACCAGGGATGGACACCTGATAAGGCCAGGGAATTGGATCACGCCTGACTGGAGACAGGAGGCTCCTTGCAGGCTCCAAGCACAGGGCCCTCACTCTACACCTCTATCATCTTGCAGGAACTAGCAGCCATATTTCCTCCACACCCACAATGGTGCCCTGGGTGGCAAACTCCAGTGAAAACTCCCTTTCTCCATAGGCCAGAGTACAACTGAGCACCCCACTTCAGGTCAGGAAGAGCACAAAGGGTTTAGACCCCCATCCCCCACAGACAGCCCTCAGAATACTGGGGTTATGCAAATCACAGCAGGGTGCAGAAGCTGAGAGCCAAGACCTAATAACTATCAGAAATTCTGGATCTCTTTCCCTAGCAGTTCTGGTTGCCAATGGTTTGGATGTTAACTCTATGGACATATGACATAAATTGCCCTTCAAAAACCTGGACTTGAGCTGGCAAGATGGCTCAGTAAATAAACATCCTCGCCACCAAGACTGTGTTTGAGTCCTACACACCTGGTAGAAGGAGTGAGCCACCTCCTGCAAGTTATCCTATGATCTCCACACATGTGCCTTGGCATGCCTACTCCCTCCCCAATGATAAATATGTACTTTAAAGAGGAATCCGGGCTTTCCCATTTCCTGGCTGCAAGGACACACTGACACTTGAAGGACGCACTGACTCCCGCTGACCCTCCAGCAGGGATCTCTGGATGACTCCAGGGGAGCTGCAAAACTGGCCTTCAGCCTTGGTGGCTGAAAACCTGTTTTGGCAAAAAGTGTAGGTCCCTTGACTGATAGAAGGCAAGAGGAGCCTCTGGCCTGTCAAGGGATGAAAGGCTGGTCTCCTGCGGCCCCTGCAAGTTTTCCCTAGGCTACACGAAGTCTTCCTAAGCACTTGCTTGACCATATACTTTCCTCTCTACCCAGAGAAGTTCAGAGAATTTCTCTCTCTACCCAGTCAAAAAAGAACAAGCCTGTCTGGGGAAGTCTGTCCTTTTGAGTTGCTGTTACATCCCATAGTATTTTTGTCCCCTGCAAAGTCTCAAAGACAACTTGCAATCTTCTCTGACATTTTTTTAAGCCCCCCCACCCCAAACTAGAAATTCTGAGGTTCTTGTGACTGCCTGCCTTGGCGCTTTTAACCCGGAGCCAACCCACACTGAAAAGAATAGTTTTCCCTTATCTGTCTTGCAAGACAAGGACGGATAAGGATGTTAATTGGGAGCTCATGACTTGGGTCAGCTCAGGCCCTGTGGCTTTCTGAATTCCCCGAACTTCAGAACCTCAGCGGGTGGAGGTTGTGAGAGCCGGTGGGGGTGTGCCCTTCCTTCACAGACACCGCGTGAAGGCCTTTGGGCCAGCAAGGGCAGCCGGTGGAAGGCACTCGCCCAGACTGAGAATAAAGTGTGTCCTGTTTCTGGGGGAGGGGAAGAGGGGCCAATGGTCCATGGCAAATATTTGGGAGCTGTTTTGCCAAGGGCTGTCTTCCTGGCCAAGAGTGTATTGATGGGGAAACGGCCGTGCTGGCTTCAAGTGGTTAATTGGGAAGGCTGAGGCGCAAGGAAACTCAGTGTTCTCTCTCTGCCCCAGTTTTTAAGACTTCGCCCGGCATCCCCACCAGGCAGGCTGAAGTGGTGCATGGCACATTAACCCCAGCAGAGCGCTTTCCCCAACAGTGTTCAGATTCGCGGACCCACAAGGCGGAAGGGACAGGAGCGTTCTCACAATGAAAGCCCAGAGAGCCCCCAAAGTGTCCACCCCTGTGACTGAAAAGGGGACGCTGAAAGGAAAGTTACTTCTCTCTTCAGTAAGAGGAAGGCAGCGCAGCCCGCCCGACAGGCTGGGCGTGTGTCCGGGGTGGACCTGGTGCGGATGTTAAAGTGGGCGCACCACTAGCCCACAGTAAGCCCTAACAAGGACAGGCTCAGAGGGACCGGCCAGAGGACCCCCCCCCCCACCCCCTTCCATACTGTCTGGCAATGTCCCGAAGACTTGCCAGCCCATTATAAATTGCTTCCCAGGGCCTTGGCAAAAGCCGAGGGAAAGGCGTTATCACCCGATCCAGCCCCAGGTAGCGCGCCCCGCCACGGGACATGCTCGCTCGGAACTCACATAACCATCTTCTCTTCGCAGTGTGGGTACTTTGGCTTCATCTCCAGCTTCTTCACGTCGCTGTAGCGGATCTTGGGCCCCTTCCTGGAACACTTACACTTGGACCCTGCGGGAGAGCGCGGCCGGCCGGGCTGCTGAGTCGCCAGGGCAGCCTCCTCTCGCGACCGCCCAAGGTGCCCGCCCGGGACCTCCACGCCCCGGGGTTCCAGGATGCCTAGGGGGTACTTGGGCTTTTTAGGACGGGACAGGACAGAGACAGGCCTCTCTCGCGGCACACTCACCGTCCACTCGCGAGGCGCACAGCGCCAGGAGCAGCAGGAGCAGGGCAGCCGCCAGGAGCCTCATGCTGGCCGGAGGGGCGCGGTGGGGAGCAGGGACAAGAGGAGGGCGCGGGCCTGTGCGCGCAGCGGCCGGGGGATGCGGCGGCTCGGCTCGGCTTCTCGGTGTGGAGCACGCCTCTCCGCTCGGCTCCCTCCTGCTGCGCCCGTCGATGGGTGCTCCCGCCGTCTGCCGCCGTGCTGCGCTGCGCTGCGCTTCGGCGCTGGGTGCCGCGGTCTCCCCAGTGCCTCCCTCCGCCCACCCCGGCCTCTTTTAAATTCGCTCCTGCCCTCTCCGAGAGCGAGCTCATTAATATGCAGAACCAGTCGGTGACTCACTGAGATTTCTCAATGTGGTGGGGGGAGGAGATCTCCCAGCCCGCCCCGCCGCCCGCCCTCCCGCCCCGGACCCATCGCGACCGCAGCGGCGCACACTCGGAGCCAAGCGCGCGCACACGCACACACTCGCATCCGCCATCCTCTCGCCCCGCAGCGTGCCCGCCTTCACGCTCTCGCACCCCCAGACCTCGGTGTCGCTGCCCTGCCGGGGAGAGACCAGGCCTGAGCACAGCCTGCTGCGGGGTGCTGCTTTTCTGTTTCCCGTGGACACTTCTCAGGCCACACAGGTCTACTGACTGTCCCGAGCCACCGAGAGACCCAGGCAGGCCTGGCTCAGAGTGTTCAAGCAGGTGCCAGGGGAGAATGCCAGCACGCCTGGCCCCCCGCGGGGCTGGTCTCTGTTGTGCCAGCAGCCCCGGCGGTCAGAGCTCAAGGCCAGGTATGGTCACAGGTTGTAGAAGCCTTTGATCATTAAATCACTGGATGCAGTGGGAGTTGGGGATGGGGAGTGGAGGAGGAGGACTACACAAGTCCTAGAAAGCATGGTGTTCGTGTGCGGCTGTGCACGGGCTGTGGAGAACCCGGGTGCTCGTCGCATGCATCCAGAAGACTCTCTGCAGCCAGGTAGAGCCCAGGAGGCAGCTCTGACTGACCACGGTAACCGGATAGCGGCTGGCCCAGACGGTGGCGGATGAAATTCCACCCTGCCCCAGTGTTCGCCACCACGTGACCGTGCATTAAGAGGCTTCTTTTTACTCTCTGTCAACCTGTAGGTCGCCACAGTGAGCATCAAAGGCACCTGTGAGAAGTACATTCGATCACGCATAGCCGTTATCAGGATGTGCAGCACAGTTCTCGGACGGTGCTATTTAAGGGCATCGTTAGTGTACGCATTTCATGTATCACTCTGGCTGGGACAGGCTCCCCTTAAATTGGTACTTTCAAGTTGTCCATTTGCCAGTGCAGGAGCAGGCATAGGAGGGAGGAGGAAGGTTCCAGAGCCAGGCAGCAGGTGACTAAGCTAGGGGCGTCTATGGATATTCGGCTGCAGAGTGGGGCTACTCTACTGCCTTCAGGCTCCTCCGTTCTGGTGGAGAGCTGCTTGGAGAGACCCAGAGACAGGGTCCATGTATCTTTGGCTCATGGAGGGCTAGCCTTGGCTCCCAGGCCAGAGCTTGACCCTTGCTATGTCGTTAGCCCGGCAGCTCCTAGGGGTGCAAGTATCCGGAGAGGCTTCTGGGGTGGGAGGCGTCGCTGGCTGAGTGAGGAATCTGTGCTTTCTCCTGTCATCTGTGCATGTTGCCCCTTGGAGGACGCTGTGCTTGGAGTGCCCGCCACTGTGCCTGTCCTTAAGGTCAGGCTGGAAGTTGGGCATTGGGTTCAGCAGAGGGAATGCGAGACGATCTTTGCCATTTGTATTGCTTTAAAAGATTAAAGTTTGGCTTTCTTCATGTACAGAAGCATGGGTTTATTTCAGAAGGGCAATTTTATCCATGGAAAACATCTTTGGGGTTTGAATGCATGTGCACAGCTACGATCCAGCTGTGGGTCTGGTGTGTCCATCCGCTTGTATTGTTCTGTGGGCCGGTCTTGCTTTGCGTCTCTTTAAAAATGGTGTTTATTTGAAACCGGATAGGACAGCGGCTAAGAGGTCTGTGTCTGACTTCAGCTGATCTGCATGTTACTTGGGGCAAATAATTCTTTTATCTCTCAGTTTTCCTCATCTGTCAGATGGGGGGTGATAATGGTACTCTCAGCGTAGTAAAAAGGCAAGTCTAACAATAGCTGTCTCCCATAGGAAAAGTCCAAGGATCCAATAATTGTTCAGCCTGGATGTCTCCTCCGGTCCTCAATCTACAACAGAACCCTAAAGAAGAAGGCTCTAATGCTAGTGAAGGAATGCCTCAGCATAAGAAGTTGCTGTTGAGAAGGAGGGCAAGTAGGCACAAAACAGAGGGTGCTTTCTTCTATGACCTTTATATAGGCTGCCGTGAGAGGGCATGGCCCAGAGTTAGTGAGGGGCTTCTGACCTCAAATAATCTGGATTTAAGGTGGGTATCCCTGCCTCAAATGATCCAAAGAACTACCCCCTCCCCACAGGTGTGCCCAGTGACATGTTTTTTGTTTTTGTTTTTTTTTTTTTTCAGTTAATTCCAGATGTAGTCAAGTTGAGTACCAAGAATTGCCACCACAAGGAGGAAACGCCCCCTGGGAACACCTGCTGTGGGCCAGGCTCTGTGCAGGTACTGGGGCCGTACAGCAAGCAAGCACACACACCTGTTCCCAGGGGAGGGTCCATGGCAGCACCACAAGTGTGGGGTAAGTGTGAGCATCCCTCAGAGGCAGACACTATGGAGAAGCTGGTACCGTGTGATGTGATCCTGGACGGAAGTAGGGATGGCTTTCTGGATGAAGGGACCAGTTGGCTGGCCATGGAGGCTGACAAAGTGGCCAATAGAGGAAGGAGGCCACTTCCACTTCCACTCCCTTGGGATACCTCTGCTCCAAGCTCTTCCCGAAAGCCCTGGGTGAGTGCCCAACAGTGCCCACTCTGGGTGGCCAGCCAGCATCCACGCTTGGTGACCCTGCCTTGACTCATCTCTCTGGCATGCAGTGTTCCCAGCTGGGGAACCTTTGCCACCAGCCCTCTTGCCCAGAGTGCTTCCTCCTCCCTGTACCCTCTCCTCCTCCTCTGTGCCATGTCTGCACCTCACACTCAAGTGCTTCAAGCTCTCTGGCAGCCCAGCAGCTGCTGCTCCCAGTGCCACGATCGCTTTGGGTACATCACACACTACCATGGCAGACTGTGTAGCTTTCATGTTCTTTGGGGGTGATCTTCTCAGCCATGTCCACCTTTAGGCTCCTCAGGTGAGCTCTGTGTGCAGCATGACCTCTGAGGTGGTTTGAATAAAAATATCCCCCACAGACTCGAATGTTTGAGCACTTGGTCCCCACTTGGTGGCACTATTTGGGTAGTGCTCAATTTCCAGTGTCTGTTTTCTGCCATGCTTGTAGAGCGAGGACCGAGTTCTCTGTTTCTGCCACCATCTCTGTTGTTTGCTCCTGTGCGTCTCGGCCACACCAGCCTCTTAACCCTCTGGAGTGGTGAGCCAAGTAAACCCTTCATTGTATAAGTTGTCTTGGTCATGATATTTTTATCACAACAAGAGAAAAGTAACTAACAAAGTCTCCTGTATCCTTTGGGTAAGTAGGAGCATGCTTTAGGCCATAGCTTAGGACTCTGGAGGACATGGCAGAATCTAGGCTGTGCAGAGTGAAGAGGTTACACATGAGAATGTATGTGCATTCTCCTTCAATTCAGACCGGAGGAGAAAAGGGGTGTTCATGGCAGCCCATGGTCTGGTGAAAGCACCCCTCTTATTCCAGCATTTGTTTCAAAAACAGCTGTGGCTGGGAGGAGGAATGGGCAACTTTCCTGGAAGTCATAGCTCTCCGCCCAGGTATCACCGCTTGGTCTGCTGGCAGGTGGGGCTACCTTCCAGCCCTGCAAACTAGAAGACAGGAACGTTTCTCTCCTTCTTTAGCCCAAGCTCTCTCCACGGCTGGCCTTCTCAGCAGGAGGGTTCCTCTGCTCTGCAGGGACAGGAATCTTAGAATCAAGCACTAAGAAGGGCGTTGGCTTTATCTACCTGATAGTACCATAGAAGGAAACTGAGGCCTAGGAAGGGAGTAGGCTTTCACACAAGGTCAAACAGGACACTGGTGTTAGCCAGGATCCTGTTTCTGTGTCCTCTCTCCATAGATGTTTAGGTAAGAGCAGGATCTCAAGCAACAATGCCGCTTAAGACACGGTGGGTCTCACAAGTACTTGCTTCTACCTGGTTCCAGTGACTGAATCCAAGTCAGTGGGTACCTGTGTTGTTTGGAAATTGTGCTTACATGCATTCGTGTGTGTGTGTGTGTGTGTGTGTGTGTGTGAAACTGATCCAAGCTGGAGTCTTCTGGGAAAGGTGAACCTCAGTTTTGAAACTGTATTCTTCAGATTGGCCTGTAGCAGTCTGTGAGGTGTTTATTGATTGATGTGGGAGTTGCCTAGCCAACTGTGAGGCAGGCAGCCCAAGATATTTGAGAAAGCAGTCCGAGCAAGCCAGTAAGCAGCACTGCTTCATGGTCTCTGCCTCAGTTCCTGCCCTGACTGCCCTTTCTGAGGAGCTGTGAGCCAGATGTGTAATCCAGCTAAGCCTTCTGCCCTACAAATAGGTTCTCTTCAGCGTTTAGTCATACCAATAGAGATTAAACCAATTTGGTTCCTCCCTCTCTGTAGCTCCTTGTGCCTAGTAGCCTGTGTGTGTCTTTTTGAGTGTGACCTCAGCCTGTGGAATGCTGGCCAGGTAGGGTGTGCCTCCTTTGCTAGGCTCCTTCAGCCTTCAGCCACAGGTGTCTGGTACTAGCCCCTTCTTAGGCTCTGGGGTGGAGGGGACAAAGCTGAGGCCCCCAAGGACAGATCCTGGCTTGCTCTTTAAGCTTTGAATAGTTACGTTTTCTGAACAACTTAGGCCTGGAGGGGATGTTTCCTGGGACAGCCACGTGGCAGCATAGGGGTTATTACACCCAGATAAGCTGCCAGGTACTCTGAAGGATCCACTCAGACATGGGAGAAGATGCTGAAAGCAGTAAGCCATGTCAGCGAGTAGCATTGGTTCTATTTTCTTATCCACCAGCAAATAGGTGTCTTACTATCTCACTACAGGGAAATGTTTTCAGTTAACAAACAAATGAACAAAAGTACAGTTCCAGGAGAAATAATTATCGAACAATTCTCAAACTCATGTGTCTTTCTTAGTGGCCAGAGAAAACCACAGTAGTGGTGTGGCATTTATACCCACATCCTGTCCAGCAGGGAACCACTCATCTTAGAGATCACTGTTTAAAGGGAATGTCAGTGGTGGGACTGGCTGATGAC